GCCTACTTTATGTCAGGGGAAAACCAATTCATTTTATTTTGGAAGAAAATAAAAGCAGAAGACAACTTCAGATTTAGAAATATTGAATTTGTGGACGATCTAAGTACAAAGTTGGAAAATGGAAAATAAGGAGAGAGAATGGGCTTAAATATTGTTTGTGGGGGGCTATGGTGGAATCTTCAGGTTGTTTTCCTATATTTGTTCTCTCAGAACTTCATTCATAGTAACAGAATCTTTAATTTGTTTTCTGCTAGCTAAGTTTGGTCACATGACTAAGTTCAGGTCAATAGTATGAAAGTGGTAGTGCTGTATATGACTTCTTTAAGAAGAGGGCACTTTGACCCTAGCCGGCTTGGCTCAGTGGATAGAACGTCAGCCTGCGAACTGAAGGGTCCCAGGTTAGATTCTGGCCAAGAGCACATGCCAGGATTTCGGGCTCAATTTCCAGTTGGGGGTGTGTGGAAGGTGGCCGATCTGTGATTCTCTCTCTTCATTAATGTTTCTATCTCTCTCTCCTTCTCCCTTCCTCTCTGAAATCAATAAAGAAATATATATTAAAAAAAAAATTTTTTTTTTTTTTTAAAAGAAGAGAGGGCACTTTGCTTTCTTCATCTCTTTCTTGCTTCTTGCAGGTGGAATACCGGGACAGCTGGATCCCAGATGGACATTTGGGATCAAAAGATGAAGCAGGAAGATTGGAAAAGCGTGGATCCCTGATGACCTTAGGAACTATTCTACCAATGGAACTGCCAACTCTGCTTTTAAAAAAAAAAATTTTTTTTTTAAAGAGGATGTTTATTACAACTGTTTCCTGAAAAAAACCCTTGAATCTGCCTGCCAGTCCTTCACTCCCCCAGGCAGTCCAATATTTATAAAGTTTATGGATTGTCCCTCAAGCAAGCACAAAAAACAGTCTCTCTAAACCCTGAAACGGATGCTTTCCAACTCTTACCCCAAGGCTGGGAGGGAAACAGTTGCCTATGAGGGGCTGTTACAAGGTTCCTCGGGCCACCACTTTTGATATGGCTTGAATGATTTGAGTCCAGGGACATTGCCTTCAAATCTCCCGACCAAGGACAATGCAGGACACCAAGGCCACTAATACTTGTGACACTAAAGACGGAAGCGATATGGTTTTCAATCAGAGGAAGGGTGAGTGAAAGGTTTAGATTATTTTGGGGTGCTTTTGGGGGTGAGTCAAAGGATGGGTGAAAGGATCAGGTTATTTTGAGGTGCTTTTGAGGGTGGGGATAGAAGAAAGGGAGCACAGGTCTGAGCCAGATTCAGTGTCTGAATTTACTGCAGCCCTTATCTTACTGACATTACAGGATGGGATATAATAACACCTGCCTCATAGATGGTTGTGAGTAGGCATTCTGGAGTAGAGTGGGTAAAAGTGAAGAGAGTCATGCTTGTTGACCTTCACCTCTTTAGTAATATAGGAGGTGAGACCATCTGGGAAGAGTGAAGAGGCAAGAATAGGACCAGCTAGAAAGTAAATCTGTGCTTAGGGGCACAGATTTTGAATCTTGGTAGATTTGAACCTAGCTGTGAACATTTTTGAGATGATCTGATCCCCAGTTTTCTTACCTCTACAATGTGGATAACTGTTAAATGCAACTATGAAGATAAAGCACTTAGCACAGTGCCTGGTACATACTAATCATGGTTGTATTATTGTTTTTGATGAATATAAAAATTTTGAGAAAATGCCACTATTGGGAACACCCTGGGAGTCTACCCAAGATTTATTAAGGGGATGAAAAGATCGCTGAGAAGCCTTGGGAGCCCAGGGGAGAGGTGACCACATTTATAACATCTCCCAGTGAGGATGGTTTCCTGACTGTCATATATATGCCAGACCACAGAAGGGAAGAGAAAGGCAGGACTTCTCAAGGAGAAGCAAAGGAAAAAGCTGGAACCCTGAAGTGTGGGCTTGCATTCATTGTGCCCCCTGGGTAGTTATGGTGAGAGGGAACCCCAGGGGAAAGATGACACCGGCTAGGACAGAGAGCACTATAAACAGGCTGTTTATTGGAGGTGGCCTTCCCTTCCTGGGAGGGAAGGTGGGCGTCTTTCCCCTCCTAGTATACCCTTCTGTGCTTTAGGTGGTAACTCCAGTTTCATTGAATGCATCCATGTGGATAGGTGAACTATACACATGTGCAGTTCATGATAAAGGAGCTGCCGAAAACCACTGACTGGAAGAAGGCAATAGAAATTATGAGAAAAAGAAAGGTATTTTTTTTTTCAAATCAGAAACTTATTCTGGTTAGAAATATTGATGGGGTAGGAAGACTTTAACTGGCTAAAGGGAAACTCTTCAGAGCTGAGCAAGAGAAACGTACTAAAGAAGTGGTGGATGGAATCCAAAGGGAGTTCGACTCATAAAATGTTTATGACAATGCAGAGGGCACTTAGACATAAAACTTCATAGTTCTTCTCAGAGTCCAATAAAGACAAAGATGATGTACAATTGGGGGTGTAGGAGGCTCCCTAGTCTGTTATACTCTGCCTTTATCTCCTAAGCTCTACTTGCTCTGGCCCCTCCTCCTTTCATATCTCCAACCCTTCTTTTCCCCCTCAGCACTGGCTTCCTCTTTCAAACAGGTGGGGCATACTTGCTGACTTCCTCTCCCCCATCATGCTGAGCACTGTGTCAATGTGGAACTCTGCTCCAAGGTCACCTCGCCAGAGAGCTTTCCTGACCACCATGCTTAGAGCAGCAGTTCCCTCCACCACTCTCCATTGCTTCCCCTTTCTTTTGTTTTATTCACAGCAGCTAACTCTACGCCACACCCCAGCTCCATCAGGATGTAATTACCATGGTGCAGAGTCCTTGTCTGTTTTGGTTACCGCTACTTCCCTACCCCCTAGTGGGTGACTCGCACATTTTTGTTGAGAGAATGGATAATTTTAAGCTGCACCCAATCACCCCTTTCCAGCAATATAAAGCAGGGTAGAAAAACTCAGAGTGAGAGAAAGAGTGAGGGCAAGAGAGAACTCTTCACTAGTCCCGTGTCTTGGTGTGGAAGCCTCAAGGTATAAACTGATCCACAAGAAGGAGCAGCTGATATCCTTGTGACATTTGCAATTTTTTTCGGCATTGGTCCACACGCTGGGGCTTCTCAGAGTGGCTAGTAAAAGTGCCCTGAACTAGGGATCGAGGCCCAGTCTCTTCCTAAGTAATCCTGTCTTGCTGGAAATAAATCACTGCTCTTCACTGACAAATCCTGAAACGTGATAACAATTAATAGGAGGGAAAGTATTTTATTCCACTTCAGTGGCAAAGTGGATGAAGGCAGCATTGCTCAATGGTTAAATCTAAAGACATTGGAAGTCAAATCCTACTTTCTCCACTTTTTGGCTAAATGACCTCCAGCATCCTGTGCCAATGCTTTCATCTGTAAACTTGAGATATTAATAGTACTCATCGGGTATTGTGAGGATTAATAAAATGATAAATGTAGGCTACTTTGCATAATGCCAGACACATGGTGGCTGCCCCATAAACAGTCAGTAATTACTATTATTGATGAGGGAGAGGCGAAAGGAGCAAGGGGAGGTCTCTGAAACAACAAAGGTGGAGAGACAAGGAAGAATTAAAGTTCCATGGAAAAAACATGTAGGGAGAAATGGACATGGAGCAAAAGCGTTGGACTCTCCTGTCTTCCACCACAGAGGGTGGCTGGCTGGCTGGTAGGGTACTTGGAGGGATAGTCAGAGTCACAGGGTTCCCAAGTCATGATGAGAAAGCTGGGATCAGAGCATAAGCCTGTGTGTCTTGGCTCGCAGGGAAAAACTTTCCAACATGGAAGAAAAGTCATGAGTTCACCCACTCAGACTTATTTCAGCAATTTCAAGAGAAAAATGGGGATTTCTAACTTCCTTTTCCACTGCTTCTCAGCTGCTTCCCTAAATCTGAGTTCCAGGAAAGAGCAGGCAATCAGTTGATTCACACAGTCCAGTGGTAAACCTGAGAGACCACCTTTGCGGGGAACAGCAGCAGGAGGAATTTAGGGTGCAGTCTCCATGAAGCTCAAATTGAAGGAGCCCCAATGTTAAACGGTCAAGGGAACCAGAGAGACTGGTGCATTTATTCTACCTTTTCAGAAAATCCTAACCCACTCATTCATGTCAGGAATTTGATAGTGCATGTGTAGAGCTGGTAAGAAATATTATAAATAGACTTAAAATGGCAAAGAGAGTCAATTTTTATATAACCAAGGCAATTATTTAGACTTAATTAAATAACGTATGCAATGACAAGATACACCAGAGCTAGGTTAATGTCACATAGTTTTCTTTGTACTGACAACAAACAGTATGCATACGCCCTTTATAATTTACTAACGAACATAAATAAGAAAAACAGAGTTTTTAGAGCCAGTTCTTCATTTTTTTTTTTGAAAGTAATGTTCTCAGTTCCAGTTCTTCATTCTTTTCTGAAAGTAATGTAAAATAGGAATAATAGCCACTTCTCATTTATTTTAGGGAGTTTTTGGAAGATAAAAGCTGAGTAATAGCTATGCATGTACTTTGAAAATGAAGCAAGTGCCCAGAGATCAAGTTTTTACAGTGAAATATGGTCATGAACTCCAATCTGAAATAAAGTGGAGAAAAGTGTATCTCTGTCAAAAACCATATGACACATTATAATACCCAAAAGGAAAATCGCTTTTAAGTTATTCAAGATTTTGGATTATTTCTCTTCTTTCTGGCCAGGTCTACCAAGTGCTGAGCCTCCTGAGCAGAAGAATTTGTGTCAGCTCTTTGGAGACCCACCACCACCAAAAATTCAAACTCTAACGCTGCAAAACAGGTTTGACCCTTACTGGTTGTTTTTCTTGTAGACCAAGGGTATCTGTGTTGAAACCTATCAGAAGGGTATTTCCATGTCTTCCTTCAGGGCAATCTCTAAAAAAAACAAAACAAAAAAAAAACCCACAACAAAAAACATAATAGAAAACTAGAAGGGATCGACAAGGGTCAGAACTTACAGGTTTGTAGGCAAAGAAGCAAGATCCATAAATAGTGCTGGGCCATCTTCCGGAGGATCCTTGATTGTGAGAAGAAAGGCTCTCTTCTAGCAGACAGCGTTGCACTCAAATTTTCTTGCTAATTATAGCTGCGCTTAAGAAAGGAAGTGTGACGTCAGAAGCAATGGCCTTTGGCTTTTTTCTCTCTCCTATATTATCACATAAAGTGCCTAGCATTAATTCATTATTTATTCAACAAATATTTATTGAATACCTACTATGTGTCAGGCACGATTCTGGATGCTGGCAGTATAAAGACCAACAAAGCAATCAATCTCTCCCCTTGTTGGGGAGATCAACAATTAAACAGTGTCTTAACAGAGAAATTTACGGAGGATGGAGGACGGGGAGGGCCCAGGCTAGGAGAATGTGGGGAAGGCTTTCTGTAGGAACTGACAACCATGCTGAGGTGGATCTGAAAAGTAAGTTAGCATTATTAGGCAAAAGGTGGTGGGGGATAGAGAATAGGAAGAATGTGTTCACATGATAGGAGCTTAATAAATGGTAGCAATAATACTATATAACTACAGTTATACGTATGTTAATATATAACACAATAATATGTAACTAATAAAACACATTTTATACAAATTTATTTAAATATATATTTTATTAATTTCATAGAAGGAAGAGGGAGGGATAGAAACATTGATGAGAGAGAATCATTGATTCGCTTCCTCCTGCACGCTCCCCACTGGGGATTGAGCCCACAAAGTGGGCATGTGCCTTTGACCGGAATCAAACCTGGGACCCTTTAGTCCACAGGTCGAAGCTCTATCCACTGAGCCAAACTGGCTAGGGCTATTTTATACAAATTTAATAATTTTCCCAATTATTCTATATAATAAAAGCCTAGGTGGTGTCATGCACAATGTCATCACAAGATGGCTGCTACAAGATGTCCAGCAGGGGAGGGCAGTTGGGGATGACCAGGCTTGCAGGGGAGGGCAGTTGGGGGCGATCAGGCCAGCAGGGAAGCAGTTAGATGTCAATCAGGCTGTCAGGGGAGCGCTTAGGGGGCAATCAGGCAGACAGGCAGGCGAGCAGTTAGGAGCCAGCAGTCCCGTATTGTGAGAAGGATGTCCCAGTTTGGAGAGGGTGCAGGCCAGGCTGAGGGACACCCCTCTCTGTGCACAAATTTTGTGCACCAGGCCTCTGGTTTTATATAATAACTAGAGGCCCGATGCATAAAATGTGTGCAAGAGTAGGCCTTCCTTCCCCCAGCTGCTGGCACCAGCTTCCCTCTGCACCCAGGACCTGGGCTTTCCTCACAGGTCTGGCTTTGTCCAGAAGGTTGTCTGGAAGGACATGCAATCTAATTAGCATATTATACTTTTATTATTACAGATGATATTCTATATGTTATTATATATTTTATGTGATATATAATTATGTTATATAAATTACATATATCATATACGCTGAGTGGCCAGATTATTATGATCTCTGAATGTGTAATAATCTGGCCACTAATATATATTTTTAGAGGCCAGGTGCATGAATTTGTGCATTGGTGGGGTCTGGCCTGCCTGGCCAGGGGGAGGGGACATGGCCAGTTGGCTGGCCTGCGTGCTGGTGGAACTCCTGGTCGAGGGGACAATTTTCATATTAGCCTTTTATTATATAGGATTGTTTAGGACTAGAAGCCCGGAGCATGACATTTGTGCACTGGGGGAGTGTCCCTTAGCCCAACCTGTACCCTCTATAATCTGGGAGCCCTCGGGAGTTATCCACAGGGATCGGGCCTAAACAGGCAGTTAGACATCCCTTTCACAATCCAGGACTGCTGGCTGCCTGCCTGCCTGATTGCCTCTAACTGCTTCTGCCTGCCAGCCTGATCACCCCCTAACCTCTCCCCTATCAGCCTGATCAACTCCTTACTGCTTCCCTGCCAGTCAGATGGCACCCAACTGCCCTCCCCTGACAACCTGGTCACCCCCAAATGCCTTCCCCTGCATATTCCCTCTTTATTAGATAGGGTTTTATCTTTAACACATTGGACAGCCCTAACTGGTTTGGCTAGGTGGATGGAGCATTGGCCTGCAGACTCAAGGGTCCCAGGTTCAATTCCAGTCAAGGGCATGTACCTTGGTTGGGGCACATACCCAGTGGGGAGTGTGCAGGAGGCAGTTGATTGATGTTTCTTTCTCATAGATGTTTCTAGCTCTCTATTCCTTTCCCTTCCTCTCTGTAAAAATATCAATAAAATATATTTTAAAAAAAGAAACATTTAAGATTCCTCCATATCTGCCTGGGTGGTGTGGCTCAGTGGTTGAGACCCCAGGCTGCCACAGCTGGCAGGTGATCGTGCCATGGGGGTGCGGTGCCCCTGCCAGGCTGAAAACCTAGCCCAGGTTACTGCCACTGGCAGGGGATCAGCCGTGGGGAGTGAATTTGTTTTTGTTTTTGATGAAGGGTCAGGAAGGCCTCTTTTATTGCCTACTTCCCCTTGTAATTTTTGTCCTACCCAGAAAGGAAAAAAGAAGAAAGAATATAAAGTTGCCAAGAGCTGCTGAAAACTTACTTTGTATTTCTTTCTTCCTTCCTCCTTCTCTGTAGGAATCGGCTTTCTTCCTCTGTTATTTGAAACCCTTGTGTGGTGTCCAGTCTTTGCCTTAAGAATCTTAGATGGTATCTGTTAGGCATACTATGCCTTGCAGGGGACTCTTGCCCCTCCCGGCGATTTTCTGTTTTTCTCCTCATAGGTTTCATGACTAACGGCCTTTGGCTTCCAGTAAACAGCCTCACCCAGTCTCCAGTGGACTGCTTACACCTTGACCCACTGCACTTGGTCTGACCCATTACTCTGACTGACCCTGACAAGTGACATAAATATCCCGCACCCCCTACTCTGCCCTGCTGTTGCCATTTTGGTCTCAGCCCTTCTGCTAGCAGATTGAGAGTCTATAACAATAAAAGTGTAATATGCTAATTAGACTGGACAGCCGAATGACCTTCCAGATGCCCTTCCAACTTTCCGGATGAAGCTGAGGCTATGAGGGCCAAGCCCCTTGCACGGATTTCATGCATCGGGCCTCTAGTACATTTATAATTCCTTACCCTTTTGGTCTCATGCGTTCCTCCTTCGGCGACCCTAACAGTATCTTAGTCCTGTTGAGCCTAGACCAATCTCTCTCTCTGTCTCTCTCTATCTCTCTCTCTCTCTCTCTCTCTCTCTCTCTCTCTCTCTCTCTCTCTCTCTCTCTTTCTCTCGTTTTAGAGAAATACAATCCAAAATTTTATACTCAGTTGCTTTTAACTTCCAAAAACTTAAGGGCCTGCATCAGTTCTACAGTTTACAAAAGGAAAGCACCCAAGTAAAGATATCATAAAAGTTAATTATAGCTGAAACCAGTTTGGCTCAGTGGATAGAGCGCCTGAAGACTAGGGGGTTCCATGTTCGATTCCGATCAAGGGGATGGATGTACATTGGTTGCAGGCACATCCCTGGTGGGGGGTGTGCAGGAGGCGGCTGACCCATGTTTCTCTCTCATTGATGTTTCTAACTCTCTCTCTCTTTTCCTCTCTGTAAAATAATTAATAAAATATATATTTAAAAAAAAGTTAATTATGCCTGGAATAAAAAAGCAAGCTCTTTTTCTTTACATGTTGAGTTTTGTTTTCAGTATTAAAATGAAGGTCAAGATTATGTACAAAAATAGTGTTAAGTGAATAATTATGTGTTAGAGGGCAGACACTTCAAAATGATGACCTGAAAAACAGTAAGTCCAATACACTGCACACATCAAGTTGTAGATTAGACAGAAAAATGGCTAATGTCCATAGGCTAAACTGTCAGGTCGGACAGTGGTTAAATCTGGCTTCATTGAAGTAATTTGGTCAGCTATCATAAACAAATTCTTATTAGTCAAAGATTATTTGTTTGATGTTCAACTTTTGATATATCCTATCCTGGATAAGACCTTTAGTTTTCATCAGATTCCTAGAAAAATGTCCTACCTCTTATACTGCATATAGAAAAGATACTAGGTTTGAAGACTTATTTTGATCTGATATGGAAGGATATGAAAGTTCTTCTATTCCATGGTAACAATAAGAAAACTAAAATTAAAAGCATACTTCTCTGTGGAATATGCAGTGAGTGGTAGATGCAAAAAACCCTTGATGAACTGAATTCCAGAGAGAAATGTGTCCTTTGTAGATGAGCAGAAAGCCAAATAGGTCAAAAGCTGGGGCAGGGAGCAGGGGAAAGCGGTGGCGAACAGGCAGACTTTTCTTGCGCCTCCTCCCAGGGCCAGACGGAAAGTAAAACTAAAGTGGGGAGCATTCACCCATAATCACCAACTGAGGTCCAGTTAAAGAGGAGACTTCTATCAAGAAAGGACAGAAAACACCCGGAGACTGACAGAAAGGGAGCTGTCGGGAGAGGAAAGGACCCAGCGCCCAGGAGCAGCCTGCAGGCAGGCAGGCCGAGAGTGGGGAGGGAGCTCCGGGCTATGGGAGGCTGTTCCCTCATAAGACAGAGGCCCGGACCCAGATGGGCTCCGAAGCCTGGAGCACCAGAGCGGAGACCAGAGGCCCAGGTAACATCCCACCTTGAAAGGTGACAGGGCTGCTGGCCACCATGATGCCTGGAGCCGCTCAGAGAGAAGGCGACAGTTTAGTGGTTTTTTTTTTTTTTTTTTCTTTTTCTTTTTCCTAAACCCAGAGCACAGAAGTTTTCATTTGCAGCTGCTCACCTGGGGCTTTGGTGCAGGAAGAGAGTCCGGACTTCAGGTGCCTCAGCAGAGGCTGGGGTGGGAAGCATCAAAGCAGCAGCCCGGAGTCCTGTCCTCAGTGACATACACAGGGACCAAATGGCCTTTGTCTGACTTAAAGAGGAACTAGCCCCTCCCCATAGCCACAGGGCAGGTCAGATGATACAGACCACTCTACCCTAAGGTGACCAGACGTCCAGCTTTTGGGACTTTTTTAAAACGCCTCGGGATGCGGGACAAATTGTTAAGAATCAGGACTGTCCCGCCAAAAGCAGGATGTCTGGTCACC